TATGCTTATATAGACATACATACTGTCTATATAACTTTGTGTTACTTTTGTTTTGCATGTGTTTTTTCTGTCTTCCCGCCTGATATGTGAGACTTCTGCTAACAATCACAAGTCTCCATGTTTGTTTTGACATCTATAATTATGGCCTTGCAGTTCAGTCTGAAGGTTATTTTGGTATTAGGCCTCTAGCATGGGGTTGAGGCAGGACAGCAGGAAGCTGTGTAGCCCTCCCACACATTTCGTCCTGTTGGGTAACCTCGTCACCAGAAGGTGAAACGAGGCTGTTGGTGACATGTGTCATTGAGGTGGCCGACTGCAGCGTTAGCGGTCAGAAGAACTGCAGAGAAATCTGCTGAGGGAGCAAGGGATACATAATCCTTAGCATGGTAAGTGGTAAATGGCAGACTCTAAAGGTTGTTTAATTTCATGCATTTATGTTTAATTGTATTTCTTCCTTGCACAATTCAAAGTGAGCAAGCCTCCCCGCACAAATTAAGTGTAAAAAAATAAAATAAAATGCAGGAGTAGAGTCAGGAAAGCAAGATGTGACCAGCAGGTTAAGGTCGGTTACAATATTCACTGCATTTCAGCTTAGGGAAAGGCTGACAAAGATGGGTAATGACTCCTGTTGTTCTTCCTTCTGTCTCGGTGTGAGTGAGAAAGTGAGTGAATGTGGGCTAAAGCAGAGAAGCAGACAGAGGTGAGTAATGACTCTGACATTAAAGAAAATGGAGAGTGGTGTTATAATAAAACGCTAGAAAGGAAGAACACTGCAGAAGTGTCAACACAACTGGGTGCTTGTGAAGAAAGAATTCAGTTCCTAGAAGTCAACTGAGCTGATGAAGAGGAACAGGTCGTACTACCACTTTGGCTTCAGCTTTTCTTGGTTTCCCAATGGAAAATTACTCTGTTTTATTGCCGTGAACAACAGGGGTGTTCTTCTTGAAAGTTTCAGACTTTTTCTTGCAGCAGTGAAAAATGTTTATTGCTTCTGCAAGAGGTCTGCTTCTTTATAGCCATCCATAAAACTTAAAAAAAAGAAAAAATGTTTTGTTGTAGAAGTGTCTATCTCGAGGATTGTTTGTACTTTTTCCCAACTGTTTGTAATGAAACAAATCTTTTGTGATGGCATGATGGCATATTGGAAAGGGTACCAACAAATTTAGTCAGTCAAAATGTCCTTTAGTAATTTTATCAGTTTTACTATAGTTCAGAACATGCAACCTAGCATACTGTAACTTCCCCATGAAGACAGAAGGCACATTTGTCTCGTATATTGCATATATATTGCATATTTTTGTTACTAGCAAAACACACCTCTGCATATTGTAGTTAAAGTATTGCAGTCTTGGCTTTTTATAGACTTGCCAGAAAATGAACTGGCATACACTGAAACAGGAATCCTGAAAACTACTGAACATATTTATTTATCTAAATGGTTGAACCTTTCAAACATGTCTCAACACTTTTTTAATTTCCTGTAGCAGCAAGCAGTGTTACAACAGGAACTGAAAAGACTGAATGGTAGCTTGTAAGAGATTATGCCTCAGTCAAAAAAAAAATTGTTTACCCTCAAGACACTTGTCTTTACTTTTACCACTCCAGCGATATTGCTCTCATGTGTCAGTAGTTGTAATTTCCAGGGAATCTGGAATACTTTGCATTAATAGAAAGCTCTGATGGGCGCATCGTTTATTCGCTATTCACTTGTGACTCTTGTGTATTATTAGATGTATGTACTAGTCTTCATTTTAAGGCTTTTAGGTTTGTTGACAGCAGTAGAAATACTAAGCATATCCTAACTTTACTCCCTGGACCAGAAAAAAAAAAGTCTAGAAACAAAAGGCTCTTGCAGGATCTTGTTCCGTCCAATGTGATTGTCCGTTCAGTGCCAGTGAGTTGGTGTAATTTGACCTGGCTGAGCAGATGGAAGGTAACCATGCATGCACGTACCGAGAGATTAGCAAATGCTTCAAGTGTACTGCTGGGACAAAACCAGCATGAGCCCAACTGCAGTCAAAGTACTCAAACTGTGAATGCCTCCTACAATGACTGTCCCCCTTTTTTTCCAATAAACAAAACCATTCAAGTTCCAACTTCTGCTTTTAAACAATAGAAACAATGTATTTATTGATCAATTTTGTTTTTAATAAAGAGAGAAAGGAAGGATAGCAAGAGAAAATGATAAGAGCAGACAGAAGAAAGTGGTGGATTGTATAGTGACATGTTCTGGGATGTGATGGAGGTTACTAAGCAACTTGCAGTCTCTGAGTAGTTAGCAAATCACTGCTGAGACTTGAAATCGATGGACACAGTGCAATTACTGAGACAAATGCAGATGGTTAGGAACGCCAAGGTCTAAAAACCCAGCACTGAAGTTAGGAATGAAGGGCTAATGCTTGTGTTGTAACCTTAATGACTGTCTCCAGTGCAAACCCGTGTCTGGGGGAGGATGAAGAAGCAGAGAAACTTTAGAGGTCTGGGAGGACAAAGACATCCTAAACACATAAAAGCACCATCAGCACGACTTTGAGGACTAAACATGTAAACTGGATTTATTTATTTATTTATTTTTATAAATAAAAGCTTGCTTGGCTCTCCGTCTGTTGCATTTGCTCCTGTTTCTGTCATTCCTTGCAGCAGCGTGTGCGGACCAGCCCCTCATAAAGCAGAGTGTCAAGACAGAGCTGCTGATTACCAGACTGAAGTTGCCGTCTTCATTTCCTGTTGCTTGCTTGTTGCTTTGCAGGGGCGTTAGATTCTTGGGTAAATGCTGCCAGTCCTTTGGCGGAGCGCTTGTGTTGAGTCAGTAGGGGTTTGTGGTATGTGTGAGTGTGTGGTGTTGTCTGGTTTACGGTAAGTTTATATGTTCGCAGGCGCATCAACTGTGCCAGACTGTAGGTACTGTCTTTTGTCATGGCTTTCAGTAAACAAGTCACCTTATTACTTTCAAGCATATTCTTGGGGGTTTCTGTTTCACAGAAAAGAGAAGCCTGTGGATCACCAGTTATTATCACAGAAACATAACAGAACATTGTTTATCAGTGGGTTAAATGTGTGGGTTAAATGATGCAAAATTAAAATGGGAACTAAAGACTTCTCTGGATGATGAGATACATTTTAGAACATGTCTCAGCATGAGGTTTGGTTTGTTTTAATAATAAATTCTGGTGTACTTTGTTATAGGAAGAAAATCAGACAAAACTGAATCTTTTTGGATTCAACAAACATTTTTTTCTTGTAAAGGTCTATCACATAAAAAACCTAATAAAATACACTATCATTTGTCATTAAGTTTAAACGAGTTTTTGGAAAGTACTTTTCCAGGTCAGTGCATCAGATCTCATGGCTTTTAAATCTTGTTTATTTATTTATTTTTTTTTTATTTTTTTTATTTTAGGAATTGTGTGCAAAGGCTTGATCAGGGCAGTTTGGTTTTAAAATATTTTGATGTGGTCCGAGTTGGAGATTTTATTAGCAATTAACCAACTGCTTGGTTAGCCATTATGTGCATAAGCGTGTAGACGAGACGTGTGTGGCGGACCTGACGACCTTGGTGCCGCCCCTGATGACCTGCATGTCCACATTGCAGGTTCCATTTGAATGAGCAACAAGATTGAGCTCCGAGAACTCAGCCTGCATGGACAGAGAAAGAGAAAGAGCACAGGACAGTTTAAATTTTACAACATGGTGATAAAAACGATGCTGCTTTCCATGAAAAAGTCATTTCGTCTTTCTTTCTGTGACTTAAAGATACTTTGAAAACACAGGAATATGACAATTACTTCAATTTGCTTTCAGGTTTAAGTTTTTGTGTTATAAACTCTGATTATATTAAATCTACCCCAGACTAATTCATTTTCACTAACTTCTTGTGCAGTCCAATGCACAGGGGTGAGCAAAACAGCCAACCACTGTTTGTGCTCCGCTTACTTGTTTCCATACTCTTGACTTTACTTCACTGCAGACATAAGCCATGCTGCTGCTCTTGTAAATAATGCAAGTTGCTACTCTTTGGTGTGGTTCAAGACACGGCGAAGATTTCTCTGTGACTCATAGCCAGCGACTTCTGTCTCGTCTGGTGCATATTTCATTTCTGTGGTGAGGCTTGAGGTTTCACATTAAGCTCTATTAGGTGTGAAACGGTTTAATGTGAAACCCCTGACAATAGACATTTGACATTTAAGCAACCAAAATGTGTTGCAAAATGGTTTGCTGGTTAGTTGGCGAAACCAATATGAAACCAAAATGTTTTACAGGGGAGACTTGAAACAGATACCTTGAGCAAAAGTGTAACGAGACGACAAAGATTTTTTTGAGTGGCTTTTATTGGACGTCTGGGTGGTTTTTAAGGCACAGATTTAAACGTGGCGACGTTTTGAAAGAGTGGCAGATCTACCTAATTGAAATATTTATAGAATCAGAAAAAATAAGCTCTAAGTGATCCGACTTTTGCATATGATTTGACTTTGTGTTTATCGTTTTATAAATATCTTTGTGTTGCTACAAATCAATAAAACAAGCAAAACAGGTGGAGAGCTGCTAATGCTGAGGTTCTCCAGGTGAGGATGAAGGACAGAACAGCTTAACTCAACAGAAACCCTGCAAAATTAGCAGCTAACACCATCATATCACTTTTCTTATTAGAGAAGATCTTAGCAAAATTATTCTTTACCATAACATTATTATTGAGAGGGACAAAAAAATAATAAAACAACTTATTTTGATGGTTCTTGAGTGTCAGAGCTCGAATGCAGGAATAACCTCTCAAACTTGGAAAAGAAAAAGAGGATTTCCAAACATTGCTTGATGGTTTATGATCTGTCCCTGTCTGTCTCAAACTTGATATTATAAGAAATGTATAACAGAAACAATTTGTGAGTAATTATTTTAAAGAATAATTGGTATAGGAATTGACAAGAAAGACTGTTTGCCTGTGGGCCTGCCTCAAATAGTTGGCACTGAAATCAGTGTAAAGGTTCAGCTCTGAAAAGTTGTGGAAAGGAGCTTTGCACAGTCTAATTGTAAACTGTTTAGATGATGTAAGATCCTCAAACTACAAAACTAATAGTAAATACATTTCTTCCTATAGATCAATGAAGTCCTTCAAATTCAACCTTTACGGACCTGAAATAACCGTAGACGTTTCCATGTATAATGCTGAACATGCTGTCAGCTTCCTCTTATCTCTGTCATGATCCCCTTTAACCTTTTCATTAATTATTCTGATGCATCATAGCTACACAAATCAATATGATACCTGCTCCACTTTGATGTCGTATTCCCCAAGGACCTTCTTTCCTCTGAACACTTTTGCCCTGAACAAAAAAATAGAGAGAGGAAAGGGTTTAGAATGCCATTTTCAAACTTCACAGTTGTATATGCTGCCCTCTACTGGAGCAAAGCATCTTGTAGATCAAATTACTCAAAGTAGGTTCCTGAACATCGAGCGGCTTTCTAGATTACCACTGTGGGCCTTCTACTTTTATTAACTGAGATCCAATAGCTAATAAGTTTCTCTCACAGTCTAAATCATGCATGTTCGCCGGTCTCTTGATGTTCTCTGTGCTGTCATTTGATTAAGAGTGACATGGACCCAAGTAAACACACAGCAGTAGACAGATGGAGAGATGAATGGAAGAAAAGGACTGACAGCGAGGGGACGAAAACGACCTCAGCCAAAATAACCCAAAATACCCGGGACGTCTCATTATGCAAGGATCACAGATGGTTTTGCACTGACTCCATCATCTAATCAGACACTGATGCTAAATAAAGCACATTTGAACTGTTGGCCAGAAAGAGCATTATATTTTCATCACATCAGTGATAACGTTAGTTTTCAAGAATTTCATTACTTCCTCTACAGTGTTTGTGATGCCATTTCACAGATTTGTAATTTAACTTTGTCCTTTAAAAATAACAGCTGATTGCCAGTTGTTTTTTTCTCAGATCTTGAATCTGCTTTTTAATTGCAAGCCTTTCTTTCTGTGCAGTCAGTTAGAAATGTGTTTCATACGTTCCTTTCCACAGAACCAAATTGGACATTTTGTCATGTAGCGAAGAGGCATCTGGTTCAAATTTAATGGTTCGTCAGAATCAGACCATCTGTGAGGGAAACATTCAGAGTCTCTGGCTCTAACCTCCAGTAATCAATAACTTTAAGTAAAATGGGTGACTTTAGGTTGGAAATGTATCCAGCCTACACAATGTGAATTGTTGCCCTAATGACACCCAATTCACTCATGTCTACAGCAGCAGCAAATGGCATCTTTACAACTGAAATGCATTTTTAATCTACAACGTTAATTCAACGGTTTATTCCAAACATTTATTGAAAACAACCTCTATCATTTGTCCCAAAGTAATGAATAGTCACATTTAATGTGCGATCGCTCTCTGTGGGTCACATGTCAGTCCAACACAGAGCTGCACAATTATAGTGTTCAGTTGAAAAACAGCTAATGTGTCCTCTTTATTCACCTCCATCAGTTTACAGCAGTTATTTGGAGCATAACATGTCAAAAAACACCAGATACGAGTCTGAATCATAAGAGAGTTTATGAGGGAGGGATTTCACAGGTCAAAGGTGTGATTTATTTAAAGTTGCAACTGCCGGATGTGTGTGTCATCCTGGATAACAAAGGATGGCCAAGTATTTTACAAAATGGTTTCATGCCTGATTTGCTGAAGAATTTTTTCTGCATCATAATAAGAACCCCATACAGCGCAACAGTTCAGAGATAACTTCAAAGTGCCTGAAACACGTAAGGATGTTGATGGATGAGGTGGCCGGTGCTATGTAATCCATCTTGTTAAAGCTACAGCACAGATCTTGTTTCCCCTCATTAGGTCTATTAGGATAACATCATTTACAGATCATCTGACCAAAACATTTGAGATGCTCTCACACAGTTTTTCATGTTGCATGTATGCTGACATGTCTAATAATATTTTTTGTGAAGCATCTTAATATAACGATCTGAATCAAATGTTATGAATTATCAAGTTCTGTCATGTACACAAAGCATGTGTGGTAATGTGACCCAGAATGGCACACTGGGTTATCATCAGTGCAAACACAGTGTCTGCATTTCTTAGTATGAGATTAATCAACATTACTAATGAATGACCGCCACAAGCTTTAAGTAGCATGTTTGTAATTTCCATTGCTGAGCTGCCTGTGTTTAAAACAAACATTTTGGACTCTACATATTAAGTCATCACACCACGATTTGACATGTCCAAATTACACTGCCGACTGGCTTAGCTGGAGAAAAACACACATCTCAGACTTTGTCAGGTTGGTAAATTAAATGTGTTGCCACAGATCGGTATGTAGTTTAAGCCAAACATCTTTAAAGTCCACAGAGAAACAAGGCTTCAGCAGGATGGCGATATAAGCTCCTTTAACATGTGCATGTTATGCTTCATTTCAACTCTTTTTGAACACATGTTTCTATAATTATGTTTTCTTTTTTCTTTCTTTTTTTTTAGCTCTGATTAACACAGTAATCTTGCCTGATGACTGCTGGAACTACGGCACCTTTTGCGACCCTGCAAGGATAAACTTGCTAGATAATCAATGGATGTATAACAATAATAAAACAAATCCTGTAAAAAAAAGAAACACAGAGAAGGGTTACTCTACAGTGAAGTGAATTCCTTGCAGAAATGCAACAGGTGTTCATTTTTATGTAAAAGTCCCTCAGTGCCAATTTAATATGTAGACATCTGCAAAGCTGAATGATTGCTTTTTAGGGATCTCGTGGAGATTAAATGAAGCTATAAATTCTCCATGTGTACATTTTATATGGTAATTGCAACCATATCATCCATTCATCTCCCAATTCAGCCATTTCTTTCGGTAATTTATTTCGCAGTTTCCTTTTCATAATCCTCATCACACCTTTAACTGGGAGCTATAAGTGTGGTCAAAGATTGTTCTGCCTCTGATCAGCATTCCTGCCAAGCTGGTAGCACACATAACTTTTGCTTAAAACTTCTGCCCTGAATACCAAATTTAAAAGTGAGCTGAAAAAAAAAAGAAAATCCAAAATATCTGGACACTAACAGACTGAAGATAAAGTTTGCAACAGACCTCTGCTTAGTGTCATCAGATATATTTCCTTTCCGACTCTCTCAAGAAATGTATCCAGTAATACGAACAGATTTGTATTGTCTTTTTTTAATAATCAAACAATCCCTTATCTTCTGCACAGAGTGATGAACATTACACAAGCCTTACAACTGGCTTTGTAATTCGATGAAGATGCAATAACAAGATGCATTCTGAGGTTGTAAACAACAGATCGACCCTGGCAGGTAATCTTTGCAATTTCCTCTAATTTGCAGCAGGAACAAGTGTCTTAATCTCAAATACAATTAAGTGGAGTTTTATTAACAAAAAGCTCCATGCAGACATATGCCCACATGTTGCCTTGTTTGAGTACAGTATACAGCTACAACATTATTGAAATCACCATAAACGCTGTAGAAAATAACATTCCAACCTTATCAGTTGGCAAGTATACAAGTTGTTTTTCTTTCTTTTTTTTTTTTTTTTCAAAAACTGCTGGTCACACACTCATAACATAAATAGCATTACATTTTCTTGTTTCTACAAGACATTCTTGTGCTAAAATCTTCATCTTCGTCAATGTTCATTTGTACAACTGTCTTCCTAAATCACCCAAACTTCATACAGGAAAGTCTCAGGGAACAGGAAACTCTTCATGAAGCGAATTTACTTTGGTAATTTATTTCAAGCATCGTCGCTAATATAGATTCATTCAAGACATATCTATGGAATATTTTAGCTATGGCAGTCTGATTAATCAAGATGTGCAATTGGAGTCAAAGGAAAAGAAAACAGTGCAAAAATACAAAAAAAAAAAAAACATTTGAATGTGTCAACATTATTCATGAGGTTAGCAGCTAAAGCAGACATCCTGAAATAGATATCTGATGACAGGAGTGGGGTACAGTAAAGGCAGAAAGGCAGATTAATTTAATAATGACTATAACTTAGTTTGTTCTTATGAATTTGGCAACTTTCAGTTTTATTATGAAAATTATACATGAATTCCATACTAGGAAAGACAGGGAGTAAAAACTGAGCAAATAATGCAAATAATGAGAAAAGACCAGTCCTTATTTTGATAGAAAAGACACTTTGAGACTGAAATGAGCCATAAAAATTAATGAGACAGGTTGGCATTTGAGGGCTGATATATATCTCTCTGTTTGTGAGATCATGTTTACCTTTGCACAATAAACAAGGCCTTTTGAAGCTGATCAGAAAAAAATGTTGAGAGACTCCAAATAATTTGAGGACAAGGACATATTTTTTTCTTTGTGGCAGTCTAAATCTCGGTGACTTCGAGTTGTAGATAACAGGATAATTACATGCATAAATCCCATCAAAGGTGGTGAACTGTGGTGCAATAAAAACAGCATGAGCAAAGTATCTTTCACTCTGCACAGGGAGCTCAGCAGGCTAATTTTTTTCAGTGGTCACTTGATGGGGATCACAATTTCGCTATCGATCAGACGAGTCAATGACTCTCAGAGAGTCTGTAGATATTAAGCTTTTTGAATCAATTCAGCAAAGTGTATCAGGGAAGAGGAGAAAAGAGAGATGAAAACATAATAAAAAAAAGAAAGGAATGGCTGACATCTTTATTTCAGGACCAAGATAATGTGCAGTAATTATGCTGTCCAATTTGGCAACAGTGCAGGAATCAAACATCAGTAAATCACGACACCAGCAGTTATTCGTTTGGTTCCAATATTTCCTGTGTTCTTTCTTATTCAATTATTACCAGTTGATTAAAAAAAGTCTAATAAAACATACTTTTACCTCTAAAATTTTATTTTAAAATGTAATCAATTGCCCAAATCAATATCATCCGACAGCTTTGTTCTACAAATGATCTAATCTAATGAGTTTCAGTGACAAGAACATTTCGATGTCCATAGTAAGGATATCGAAATGTTTCTGCTCCCCATTAAATCACTACACATTACAGGATATTCACTGGTGCTTCCTTACACTTCACCTATTATTATTTCACTCCTCTTTTACCTCCTCTTTGTTTCCACTTTTTCCTTTTTTCTCACTCCCATAACCAAGCCGTGGTTTGGCCTCTTCATGAATAATTATTTTCACCCATCTGTTTTTCCCCCCTCTGTTCTGCAGCTGAGTCGACGTAAGGACGCATTAAGGAAAAGTGTGCATTTAAATTAACCAACAGGATCATGATCAGTTTAATGAGACGGAAAAATACTTTGGGTTGCTGTGGATTTTATACTAAGA